GATGAGAGTCTAATGGAGTACTGCATGATTCCTATCCATAACTTTTCTGCATTGTTCATTTCTTGGATACTAAGAGTTTCGTTGACTATTGGTTGATTGAGTTTCTTCCTTCGCAGGTTATTGATAAAACGTGTAACATAAGCTGTAATTCTTAGGACTCTTTGGAAGTCACTATACTTCTCAACGGGTATAAACAACTTAGGTTGCGCTTCTGGATCTTTCGCCATGCTGAGATTGACGGTAATAGATTCATCTGTGTCGGTTATAACATTCTCTTCTTCTACCTGTTCCTTAGAAGTGGCAATTACATCTTGCGACGGCCACAGGTCTGTTTTTCCTGATAGGAATTGTGGTCCTTTAAACCACTTATCGTTATTGATCAACTGTGAAACTAAAGTTCCTCTGGAAGCAAGGTCTGCTCGATTATCTTGTGTTGGACAATATCTCCACCTTTCAGCTCGTGTCAATTATCTAATCTCCTTGATTCTGTTTTGTACATACTGTTTCTGTTTCTTTGCTCCGTTCTTTATCCAGTTTAATACAACCGCGGAGTCTGACCATAACTCAAGTTCATAAATAGGCAATACACTTTCCAACGATTTCTTAATCTGATCTGCTAATCGAGCTGTTACAAGACTAACTTGTAGTTCTAATCGTGGAATGGATTGTTCATTCATAGGAGCAACTCTTGTTTTAGAGTCAATAAGACTACAATAAACTCCATAAGGATACTCGATTCGTAGATAGACAGTAGATCCATAAGCTCTTTCTGATGCATCTCCAAATGCATGTAACTGTGCAGATATTAATTCCTTCTTTGACATGGTAGGATCTATACAACATCTAATGAGCTTAACTCCTTGTGTCTTGTTAAAGTCAGAAATAATCAAGTTAAAGTTCTTAACCATATCCTAGGGAAGTGGTTCATCTGAATTGAATTGTCTCTTACAGACCTCTTGGAATAGAATCTTCAGTAAAAGAACAACAGGTGATATAATTTCTAAAGGATCATAGAATTTTGCAACTGTACTCAAGATGATCCCTTTTGTGATCTGAGTTGAATCCAATAAGTCTTCAGTTACTTTATCTACTTTCATAACGATTTCATCCTTGTCAGTGTTTCAAGTTAGTCCTAACATTTGGCATTCAGTGTTAGTGTCTGTAGGATTTAAACTATTGCTAAACAGTTCAATGTCCTGAAGTTCTTGAATCAGTTCTGTAGAATTACTTGCGAACTTCCTCATGCTGAATCCTCCTTCCAGCATTCTCTGTTTTACCTTGAGGGCTAGTTCAGATGCAGATTTGAGATCATCAGCTCCTGATGTATAATCATCAACGTACAAGGAGTTGACAACTTCCTTTACAAATCCTGGATCCTGTTGAGCATACTGATCCAAATGGTGATGTATAGTAGCATTCAAGATGTAAGGGCTTGGTGTAAGTCCAAACACCAAACGAGTAAAACGAAAAACTTCAATTGCTGGATCTTCATCTTCTATGTTATTCACCCACAAGAATCTGAGAAAGTTTCTGTGTTCTGGAGAAATACTGCTGTTCAAGAAGGCTTTTTCGATGTCTGCAGTGATTGCTAGTCTATGTGTTCTAAATCTGAGAAGGATGTCAAATAACAGTGGTGAAAGACTTTGACCAGTATAAAGACAGTCATTGAGACTTGGACCAACATTTTTGGGTCCTTTGCTAGAAGCATCGTAGACAACACGAAGTTTTGTAGTGGATCGATCTGATCGCATTACTTCACGATGAGGTAGGTAGTGAACGTGCCCTACTTTTTCCCCGTCATTCGTGTCTGTTACTCTTTCCACCACTCCTTTCTCAATTTGATCCTTGCTTACTTCATCATATTGTTTCAAAGTTTCTGGTTCCTTACGAAGTCGTGTAATCAATGAATGTAGACGTTTAACTGATGTGCTGTGATTGTCAGGGATCATAGAGTGTCCGTCTATGAACGGTAACTTCACTTGATAGATTCCATTCTTGAATTCAATATCTTGGATAGGTTCCTTGATATTTGGTTTGCTTCCTTTTAACATGCACGTACCAACCATTTCAACGTCCCAAAACTGTGGACAAGGGGGTGTTTCCAATACTGCGTCACTTTCGATTAAGGAACTTGCATCTATTCTGAGTACATGAGTAGATAACAGGTTTGTAGTCCCATTTCCCTTTACTCGCCTGTTAGAGTTCACAGGTCCAGAGAGGGTAGATCCAAGCTTTGTGTTGATGGCGATGGGTCCTGTGTCTCCTCTTTTAACTTCTCCGTTGGCAAAGCACCAATAGAAGTCAGCTCCAATGAGAATGTCAATTTGCAATTCTTCTTCTCCATCACAGCTATCAGCCAACTGTATACCACTGAGGTGTTCATAAAAATCTACAGATGTGTCGATGGCTTGATTTGCTACAGGGCTACAAATTACTGGCACACTATAAGCACTCACATAAACATCAGATCCGTCTAAAGTCTCGACAGCAAACTGTACATGATCACATTTTCTTGTTTGATTAGATTCTTCTCCAAATGCCTTGATCAGTAGATTAGTTGATGTAATTGTTGGAAGGGCTAGTACATTTCTTAGCTGGGTTGAAATATATGAGCGTTAATGTGATCCCGAATCAAAGATTATTCTTGCATTGGCTGTACATTTGGTGTCAGGATTCTTGATACGTGTCTTGGCTGTTTGTAGGAGTACTGCACCTACAAGTAGATTAGTTGTTTGCTTAGACTGGTTCGGTTGGCTTGATTGCCAATGTTTCTTCTCGGTCTGATTTCCTGTTTCAGCTTTTGAGCTCTGAGTTGCGTCGTTACTTGTAATACTCTGAAGGGTATTGTTACTAGCAGTGTTCTGAGCGGCGTTGTTACTCGAGGTACTCTGAGAGTCACATATTGCAGTGTGATGTCGACCTCGACACTTATGAAAATTATGTTGAGATGGACACTGAGACGCGAGGTGTCCTGACTTGAGACATATGTAACATTTCCCCTTTCTTCTAAGGACGGCTTTTCTTGAAGCAGGATCCGTAACAACGGTGCATTTTAGGCTTGGATGATTTTTAGAGCAAAAGCTACAATAAATAACGTTTCTGTTACCCGCGTACAGGGTGCTACACGTAGAATTAAACTGACGTCTTCTTCTTGGCCCTGTCTTATCGTTTTCCTTTTGATGGTCTTGCGATTCGATCGTTACTCCTGTGATCAAACATCGTTCTCTTGCTTCTACTTCCGCTTTGATTAAAGCTAATACCTTATCGACATCCAATGAGTCTTTCTTATCAAGTTTCCGATTAATTTCCAGAGAAATTGCCTTTGGTATCTTGTCCATGATGATCGGTATTAACAAAGTTCCATAGGTTTCACTTTGAATTCCCATGGTTCCCAGACTTCTGATGTTTATTTCTAGTTGGTCGTATAATTCTCTCAACTGGTACACATTTGCCACGGTTTCCACGTTTGATAAATGAAGTAGCTTATTCATGTGTGTTACTAAAACGAGTAATGCAGTAACGAGTAACGAGTAAACCGAATAACCAGAAAACGAGTAACATGAAATTTTTTATATATTTAAAAATCTGAAATAAATAGTAATGTATGATAAATAATCATAATTTGTATTCTCTGTTGTGTTTTAGTCTAGCTTTTTTACACAAATGCCGTCTGCAATTTGTAACTCGCAACACAGGTAGCCCAAGCTTGGTTTCTGTGGTGTCCTGTTATAAGGAAATGTATGGGGAATCATCAAAAATTTCAATAAAATCATCAAAACGTGAAATAAAGCCTCGAAA